GTGTTATCTTATGTCAGGTGGCTTATCTTGTGTCACTTACGGTATCTTGCGCGAGTGTGGTTGCTTTGGTGCCCCATACGGTAACCCCAGACACCACTGAACGTCCTTGCTACCGAGGCTGTTCTCTTGCAACCATGTACGTTGGGCTAGATATAAGAACACCCTGCGTTGCAGTGGGAGAAGCGCGTGTCAGGCTGTGCGATGAGCAAGCAACTGAGAGACAGTTCGTTCATGTAGCTATTTTGCCCGGTTGCCTGGGTTACGCACCACTGCTGTCGCTACTTTCATTGTCGCTGTTGTTTTGTCCTATCCGATTCGGGTGGCGGCATGTCATGCCGTTCGATTTTCGCTGAGATGCAGCTATGTGAAATCGAGCTTTGGGACGCTGAGGAGGAAGTAAAAAATGCTCCACAGAAGCAAATGGACTGGACACGGTATCTTGCCGGTTTGTTCTTATCTTTCCGCCGGGATGAGCAAGAACGAGTAGACTAGGCCATGAAAAAGAACAAGGAGACATGACAAACCTTCGTTCGTTTTCGTTATTCCAACGAGATTTCTTCTTACGGCGGACGCGACACGATGTTTTCTGTGTCGATTTCCTGGCCGGGGAGGTCGAGTTCAACGAGACAAAGGCAGATACACATTTGTGTTGGCGTCTCGTCAGCAGTGGAGGCTGTTCGGGTGTTCGTTTCCCCTGTCTCCAGGCGGTTGTTCCACTTGGAGAGTCTTTTACGTTTTTTCGAGAAGCTATACACATTCTTTGCTTTCTTTCTAGCACAGCAGTAGCGGGCGAAGAACCAGTCTCCGTTGTTGCGGCAGGTTCGATGACGCACACGTCTGTATTCGTGGTTGCGCACGCTGGAGGAGCACAACAAACACGCCCGCCCGCGAGAAAGGTCTGAACCGCGTAGTACAGCGGGTAGGGGTAGGCCATTCAAGTACTGTAGCAATCCAAGAGGAGGGACGCCGTTGCGGCTCGAAGCGCGGCTGATTGATGGTGCGAGGTTGTTAGCTGTTATCTGTCGGTCGGTGCCCTCTCTTCAGAACAACACCCGCCGCCCTTTTCTACTGCTGTTATCGACTTCCACGTTTGTGCCGCTGTGCTGCTGCTGCTGTTGTATTCTAACTACTGTTCGGGTCTTGGCTGCTCATATTGCACTATTTCACCTCCTCCCTGGCTCTCACCCTTTGTGAGGCACAGGCAAACAAACGCTGTGGTATACTGTAGCGAACAAGCACCCACGACCCGCAGCAGCAGCACAGCTTGCACAAAGTCGGAACGTTGGACCGAACAAACATGGAACGGCGCTGAATGAACGTAGAACAGATAGTGACGACAAAATGGTTCTGCACCCAGGTCGCTGCGGACTGTTCGTTTCGACATAACTTTTTCCGTTCACCACCCGTCGTCTATTTGAATTTGTTTCCCCCCGTCGTGGTGTGTGCACTGTTCGTCCATGCATGTTATGTATGAATGTACTGCGTGATGATTTTAGCTGAGTCTGCTCAGTATCCGTGTTGGTGGAAACACACACACGCGCGCGCGCTGCTCCTCTCTGTGGATTCATTCGATTCGTCCCACTTTCACAAAAAATACATCCACATCCATCCATGTGGCCTTTTCGTTTCTGTGGAATGTGCGACACACACCGTGATGCTACCGTCAGTGCCCTAGAACATACTGCTGTTTGCATGCTAAACGCGCGAATACAACGCTTCTCCGCCCGCCTGCGGCGAGGGTGTGTGTGTGCGTTTCCTGGGCGACAATACGGTTGTGATGAATGTGGAGTCGTTTGGCGGCCTGGAATCCGCGGCTATGGGAGACGCAGCAGATCAGAAATGCGGAGTGTGGCAGGAACGAACAGTGTGTACTCTATATCTACGTTTGCTTCTTGCATGTTCTTGTATCACCCCCTGCCGCGGTGCTCTCTTTACCCCACTCCGGAGGGACGCCTTGTGCTTCTTTGATAACTAGACGGTATGCAGGATACGTCCTCATTCCGACACAAGCATCGTCTTGCTTGTAAGGTGGATGTGACATGATTCTTTCTACTTGGTCGATTTCATGTTTTCTGTGGCGATTTGCCGTCGTAACAGGTCCAGTTCAACAAGACGAGGCAGAACGAAGAGGAGGAGGGTAAGCTGCGGGAGGAGCTCAAGTCCATCGACCAGCAAATCAAGAAGCTGCGGCAGAGCAGCAAGTCGTCCAGCAAGCAGGGTGACGAGATTCAGGCACTGGCGGACGCAAGAAGGTTTGACTTTTTAACCCTAACCCTAACCCTAACCCTAGGCACTTGCAGACGCAAGAAGGTTTGACTTTGTCACGCTTCTCTCGGAAGTAGACACTTAATTGTGCGTTGGTTGGTTGCCTCGTAATAGGGAACAAGAAGAGAGGCAAAAGCCAACAGAAACCTCCGGCACACAGGGCCCAATATATCCGGGATCGTCTGGAAGCCAGTGTTCCCAACCGACATGAAACCGTCACTGCTGGAGAGAAAGCATTGACTGGTTCTCCCGCCAGGGTCAGGGTAGCGACACCGAACATTCGTAGGAAGCGTTGGGCAGACACGTGTCAGGGATGTTGCTGGCTGTTAACCAGCCGACCACCGCGTGGTCGTGAAGAGTGTCGTTCATGGGATGGTGTTGCTGTGAGCGCGCACGACGATACGCGCAGCCTCACGTGCACCATTGCGCTACACGCTGCGATGCATGCATGCCCTGTGACGTGGTGTATATACAAGCGCGGAAGATTTGGCAGTTGCAAAGGTAGTGCAGCAAACCATGCAGATGCTGCATGTGTTGCGTTGTACCAGGGCGTCTACCGCCCGCCCCATCTCCTTGTCGAACCTCTTCCGTTGTTGTTTCGGACGGAAGACCTCCAGACCTCGGCCAAACACAGGACATCCTCTGCGTTTCTTTACCCCTTGAACACCCTACGCACCCCTGAATGATCTTTGATTTTACGCGTTTGGTCCGGCAACCTCAGGAGCATCGGCCATGCACCGCAGCCGGGTCAGCCGTACCTGCTGAGCTACCGGCTCTCGGAGAAGAGTCAAACGCCTTCGCAGCACATCAGTAAAGGGCTCCTCAAGAAGGTGAGAGCCATCGCGGCAAACTCGAAGAGCGCGATCGGTATCAATCAGACAATCGGAACACCATCGTGAATCTTGCAGCAACATTGAAAGACGTAATCAGTATCTATCGGGCGATTGGAACAGTATCCCCAAGCTTGAGGCAACCCGAACACATTACCAACATCAATCGGACGATCCCAAAAGATCTCCGGAACTCTCAAGAGTGCTTCTTTTGCCGGCTATTCTAGGAGAGAAGCTCGCAGACAGGCGTGTTGGAAGCCAGCTTCTTGATGGGTTGCCTGTGTGCTGCGTGCGAGTGGGTTCAAGACAGCAATGCAACAGGATATTGCTCGAGTGAAAATGATGGGTGGGATGGCACCAAACACTACGCACCGCCGGGGGCGCCGGTTGAATGAAACCATGATGATCGGTTTTTGTTCCGGCAAGTACGCTGAAAAACTTGTTTTTCATTTGGTTTTTCCGGTAGGTTGGTCGATGCTACTGCTAGTGTTGTCAATGCACACACACAAACGCACACACTCGTCAAGGGGCCTGGGTTGTATTTCGCTGACACCTTTTCACTGGTGAGCCGGTTTCAGCGCGGCGTTGATGCCGCTTCCGGTCTTGGACCAATATGTAAAAATTCCGATTCGAAATCTGCGNAGTGAGGGTTCTCCACCCCGCACAACATGATCTACTCGACCACCATTATGGTTACCGCCAAAAAAAAAAACGGAGGTAAAAAAACCCCCGGTAACCTGGTTGCAGAGTTCACGAAGTGAATTGGCTTGTTTTACAACGTCGTTGCCAAGCGACGAAACCCAATCCCGATGGCAAACACCGGGGGGGGCGGCTTGTTTTACAACGTCGTTGCCAAGCGACGAAAACCCAATCCCGATGGCAAACACAAAATGATGGGTGGGATGGCACAAAAGACTACGCACCGCCGGGGGCGCCGGTTGAATGAAAGCATGATAATCGGTTTTTGTTCCGGCAAGTACGCTGAAAATTTTGTTTTTCATTTGGTTTTTCCGGTAGGTTGGTCGATGCTACTGCTAGTGTTGTCAATGCACACACACAAACGCACTCACTCTTCAGGGGACCTGGGTTGTATTTCGCTGGCACCTTTTCACTGGTCAGCCGGTTTCAGCGCGACGTTGATGCCGCTTCCGGTCTTGGACCAATATGAAAAAATTCCGATTCGAAATCTGCGACGAGAACGACAAATTGAGCATGTTTTTTGCCACAGTTTATGTTTTCAGGTGCAGCGTCATGGTCGGTCTGCGTCTGACCCCAGTTGCGGTTGCACCGCAGTAGGAGCGGGAGAGCACCGGAGTATACGAAAGTGTTTCACTCCGATACAAAAGTTGATCGACTAACCCGAACCCTGTAAGGTGTGTCGCACCTACACATGCGCACACAGCATAGAACGCCCACCTTGTATCCCACCGAGTACCCAATATAAACGCGTTCTTGCCCGTCCACTATCTTGCTAGGAATAGCGCATTCTAAGGCCACACATCTTCTCGGTTCACCGCGTGCAAAACTAAGTGAGCCCGCGCTTGCTCGTCCACTGTGGGGTGGATGATACAAACCCGGACCCAAGTATTGTATCATTCGGGACCTTGCTCGACCGAGGAACCTGCCCACACAAAATTTTCAACGCCGTGTCACGTTGTCGATACTTGTACCATTGATCTTCCTGGCCCTTTGGAATTCTTGTCTTATTGTGCATTTTTTCGGAGGTATCCAGAACAGGACAAGGTGGTGGCGCCCGAAGTGCTCCGTTCTCCCATGCCTTCCGTAGTCAAAGGCCAACTACCCAACAAGGGTATTGTAGAGTTTATCGTGGGATCGTCGGCTTAGCTAGCTGTTCTTCTCTTACCCAATATTCCAAGTCTGGGTGAAATTTTGGCTTTTTCGTTTGATATTTCGTCGTCGTTCTTGTCTGCCACCCCCTTCCCCCTATGCTGGCAGGTATCGGCATTGATGAAGGAGCTGGCGGTACCAGACAAGACCAAGTGCATGGCCTCTAAGGCTGCCGTTGATCTGCACGACCATCTCAAGCGAGACATGATGACCCTCTTCAGTCTCGAGAAGGTGCTGCAGAAGAAGGTAAAGTGCTGCTTCCGTTGTCATCGTAGTCCCCGTCGTTGTGGTTGTGGCTGTTCTTGTCGTCGTCATGTAGATGCTTCTATGAGCCGCGGAGCGCGAAACTTTTTTTTTTCCCTTCATCCCGGGGGGGAAAAAATGACTAAACATCGGCCTGTCCTAACGCGATGAAATGGCCCAAGTTTGAGTTCCGAATACACCCTCCTTTTCGACCAGAACGAGTTTTTTTTTTTTTCTCTCATCATTGGACTCTGTCGTCTGCCTGTCGTCTGCCACTGTGGCCCCTATCCTCCACTTCTACCAGCTAGACGACCCAACCGGGGTCACATAGGAGGGGGGGGGTTGGACCCCCTCCTGCGGTTCTGCGGTGTATAGAGCGCCGATTGACGATCTGCTGACTTATCAGGAGGGAGAAGAATAGATCTCCAATGATGATAATGATGGGAAATGAATAGATGGAGGTCTTGCCTACAGCAGCAACAGTAGCACAGAGTCAAGTTGCGGCGTTTTGGTGCTGTTGACGCCGTCACCACATGAAACTCAGAACGATGAAGGCATGCAGTCTTTCACCGGACACTAATAGGGCGGGGAACAAAGGAGGCAAATTAGCGAAGCCGCATCCTGAGATGTTTACAAACGGTCCATGCGAGAGAAAGATTAGAGCTGGCCTTGTTGAAACTGTGCACCTGCCACTTTTCCGTGCCGCGCTGCCCAATGGGCCCTATCCATCTAGTGTAGTGGATCCGCCCATTGTACTTATTTTGCAGACGGCAGTGTGCTTGGTGCCGATTATTTGGCGGTGCTGCTGTAGCAGGGTTGTGTGTATCATGGCGCACGATACGTATGTGTGTGTTCGTCGACCGTCGTTGCAGAATTTGAAACCAGCGGCGAGCGGATGCACAGTCTTGAAGATCCGCTTGAATATTCCAGATACAAGTACAAGTGTGCAGTGTACAATAGTATGCGAAAGTCTCTGTGCGTGTGTGGCTGCCTGGAAGCGGCGTGCCTCACACAGCATCGCAGATACAGACTACGGCAGGTAGAGTCGACCCCGCGGCTCGTACTTGTCCCTTCTACGTGCATGATACCAGTAGTGAAAGTACCCACCATTGCTGTTATGATAGTTTCACCACAGTGCCCTGTCCTGTTGGACAACAGGCGATGGCATCACTTGCTGCACTGTCTTGTGCGTTCCACCTCGTTGCTAACACGCCGCAGGAGGGAGACGTGGCAATGGCGAAGCAATCGCCAGAGTTCGCTGCTGGCGTAGGTGAGCACGATGCGGGTTACATTTTCGCGTTTCACATCCCCATCCTCATTTTCCGTGACATGCTGCCGCGATTCAGTGGAAGTACCGTCTTGGATTGAACTTCAGGCGGGATTTCTTGTACTAATAGGTGAAACAAGCAGCCTGCACGGCATGGTACGCGATGTAGAGAACAATGGATTCCTGGGTTTGCGTTTCGAGGCCAGCGTTCCCTCAACGTCTGCTACTGAACTGGTGCGGAACCAGTTTGGGCTGGAAATGCTTCCAAGGATCAGCTGGTCCTCGAAATAATTACCCAACAATTACCAGTGCTTTTTGGTGCATATGGGCTCGTTTCTGCACCAGATTCTACCCGCTACCCCAACCAAATGGTGCCGCTGCCACAAGTTTGCGGTTTATTCCGTTGATGGCTGTTCGGTATTCGTTTATATCCGGGCTTGTCGGACATTTCCGCCAGAGTCACGATGTGACCAACCGCAGTACAACCTGTCGCTTTGTTGACAGTCACGGCTTGAGGCCGTATGCCCGGGACTACCGCTTCCCTTCGTGACCACAGCTTACGGGTCTCCCTCCTCAGGTATTCCGCTGGTGGCGCGAGCGAACAGCGTCGGCGGTAGACCGGCCTTGGCTGGTGGACAGGCTGCACACGCGAGGTAGGTTCGGCGAGGAGGTGTATGCGGTACACCCGATCCGCGTCGTTTGGAAGACTCTTGGGCTGTCCATTCGCTAGTCCCAGCTCACGCGATGATTAATGATTTTTCGGAAATGTCGAAGGTTTCCTCGCAAAGATCAGGCGCGTTAAGGGTTGAATCGCGCTAGAGTCGACGCCGTTGGTTGGAAGGGAGTTTGTTGGGTGGGTGACATCCAAACGTCCGGCGCGCGAGCTTGAAGTTGGCTGCCCCTCCCGAATGTTTCCGTCGCTTGATTTCTGAAGAACATGGAAGTGTCAATGATGAGGATATGTAGCTGGTTGCTTCCTGTGATTTTGATTTCACCTACTTCTCAATTTTTATCATTTACTCAGAAGCAGGCAGGCGATATTGCATTACGTCAACCAAGTATGCTTAGCGCATTGTCCGTGCACGTGCATACTGATTTTGGACTTTTGTCGGATCTTCTGTGTCGGTCCTCCTGTGACAGGTCTGGGGGATCCAGCAGCGGGGGTCACGGGCAAGCGGTGGCACAGAAGCGCAAGTCAGAATCACAGGGAAAACGCTCCCGGCGGTGATCGTGTTGAAACGACAAGCGAACGGTTCCAAGGGAGAAAATGAGGCGTGATGCTAGTTGAATCAAGAGCGTCGGTATCCGCGGTGCTTGAACACCTTTCCACCGTTGGCGGCAACGCTCTGGGAGTAGAGGGCGCCAGGAGAAAAACACTGCAAGACGAGCCAGTCGGGTCATCGGTTGATTCAGCGGAGGATAGTCAACTACCTCCGGACGATGTTTCTCCGGGTTCGTCCCGTACCTGGGTTCACGGCGCGCATTACTCGCAGCAGATTGCTTATCTGCCATCGGGCGGTGGGAGCGCTGATCGTTCCCCTCAGGATTGCGGCTCCGCCTCTTTTGGTGTGTGTGGCTTGTGTTTTGTGGCGGGCGCCTGGACCATTCCTCGGCAAGCGCATGGACTTCTTTAAGGGGTTGCGCGCCGGTAAGGGGTTGCGTTGCAAGGGACGATCTGGTACGTGGTGTGGCGTGGTAAGAGTCTAAAGTGGTTGTTGATGATGTACCGATCCGGTCGCTTCTCTGTCCCTTCCACTGCGCTTACAGGTCCAGCTGAGGCGGACGCCTTCCGTGGTCACAGGTGGACACACACCCTTCTTTGCCATAAATCGCTGTGCCAGTAAATTGCTACCCATATCTCAAGTAGGCGAGCTCAGCGACGCGTAGAATGTTAGGAGGTAATTGTGATAGGTGTATCCCTGGTAATGGCTACTGTGTAACAGTGTGCAAAGACCCACAGAGTGACTGTTAACAAGCTCAGTAGAGATTGGGTTGCTGGGTCTCTGTCAACCGAAAACCTTTCTTCTTCTGTCTGTGTTTTTTTTTTTCGGGTCAAAAAAGCCGATCTCAGCCCACACTGCGAACCTCCGAGAACTACCAGCAGTTCTGTGTACCTGAGACGATTCCAACCCTCTCACTGTTGTTTGAGCAGTTATTGCTTGCTGTATGGCGAGAACCAGTTTCTCAGTTGACAACATGGATGCGCGCTGGCAACAGATCGACCAGGTTGAGTTGTCGTCGAGGGTCCTCTTTGTTTTGCTCGTCGCGCCGCGCCAAGCCTGCTTGCTGTCCACGCCTATGGGATGAGGACGGTCCTGGAATCATGGAATTCTGAAGCTTTTCAGTCTCATCGTTCGATATCCGTGGAGTTTCATTCGCATGCGCCACCCCTTGCCCGACCCGGTCTAAAATGCTGATCTCGAGCTACAGTGCGATTCTCGTTGCGCCTCGAGTATGGTTCGTTGTGGATCGCAAATCATGAGCCGCCCCCGAGTTTGGGCAGCTTCCGCCTCCTGTGGCCGGAAAGAGTGGGCCTTGACTCTTCCTTGCCTGTTTAGTCATGGAAACGGCCGGTTGAGCAGCGAAAGAGGTCCTGCGTGCTGCGCGCCACATTTTTTCATTTTTCGCGTTTGTTCTTGAGTGACCCGTTGTACACATCCAGTTGCTGGTGCGGTTCCTGCTGTTCAACTCGGCATGTGCTGCAATGGTCGTAAGGCTATCGTCATCAGGTTTGACAACAGTCTCCTCGTTCGTGTAGTGGTAGCGGTGCGCATCTATCGCGACGGCAAGCGCATTGAGATAGTAGTTCGTCCGTCGTGCTCCTAGTCTAGTCTACGCAGACAGATAGATAGTCGTGATCTTCTGTGTTGCCACTTCATATCACACCAGAAAAGCAAAGAAAATCTCAACTATTACCCTAACCCTAAGTTTACTGCAGAAATTCGGACGAAGGCTATTTGTCTTCGCCACTGCTAAACACTCCACGGGTGGGGTAGTTTCTTACCCACCCCACCACCTTTGGCTCGCTCTACAAGACTCCGATCAGCACAGGACTTCAGCGAACGTGTTGCGGCGTTGCAGGGCTATCATTGGATCCATTGTGAGGCCGAAACGGTACAGTTTTTGGTGGTGCCACGATTGGTGGGGAACATCCGCCGATACCATCACTGACTGGTGGGGTAGATAGACTAGAGTTAGACCCCACCAGCTGCATCTCCCTCAACAAGGCTCCGATCGTCACGCAAGCACCTGCAGGAGTTTGTGGTCGATGCATGCACAGCGCCCAGCAACATGCCACACCTGGGGCGGCGAACAGGCCACGAAATCCCGCGGCATAGCGCCAAACATCTGACGTGGGTAGTGAGCACTGTCTTCTATTTTCTTGCATGCAAACTCTCCTTCAGCTGCAAGACCCACTGCTGTATGTAGCTCTACAAGACTCCAATCGACACACAAACACCGGTGGGAGTGTGTGCAACACGCACGCACAGCACATGGCAGCTGGCCAGCACATGAAGTATTCCAGCCACACTGCTTTACACGACCCAGTGGGACCCTACAGCAGTGTATTAGATTTGTTGGGGATACTCGTAGCATAGTATGACGGGTAAGATCTGCAGTACGTACGTACGGAAATTGCAGTGATGAGATGCGGAGGAATCAGAGAGATCCGTTTGGTAGTTTGAGC